GACAGCATCCAAACCCACAGGCCATGAAGAGTAAAGGAGTTCTGGGGATAAAAAGAAAGTTAATGTTTTGTCACACCAACAATATATACTGGCCAGAACATTCAACCTTTGACTTGTTTCATTTCACAAACTTGAAAAAAAAAACACCTTTCAGAAAGAAAAAAACAAGTAGAGTAAATCATAGAATCTGCCATATTCCAGTATACGAAGTGTAATACTCAAAAATGTGTTCTAAAAACAATTAGAAATTGAATAAAAAATATCACGGACATGTGTTTTAATTAAAAGAGAATATTTTGGATTAACCATAAAGACCAAATCATAGAAAAGCGGGGTTTTTTTTGTATCTCTCTGAGCACCGATGACATTATTTATTGAACGTCCCTCGTAGATATGCAGCAGGGTTCAAAATTTTAAATTCCAATCACTATAACTTAATTGACTAATGCGTTTAAATATTATGGTTAACACATTTATAATGCATAAAACGTTAATCTTAAAACTAACCGTAGTCGGGATAACGCGACTCATTTGAATTATTCAAGGTTATGATCAAGAGAAATTGAAAGTCATTTCATAGGGATCTTTACAAGGTTTTATGCCAGATGGTATCAAACCACATAAAACATCATACAGTTATTGACTGGGTATGAGGGCAACATATGATTTGTTGGAGCTGATGGTTAAACATGTCCGCAGGCCTTGGGCATCATTTTCACCTTCAGGTCAAACAAATCATATGTTGCCCGAATCCCAGTCTATAACTGTTTTGTTATACCCTTCACTGCTTACTTAAGATTGATCAGTTTAATCAATACACGCTATATTATGAATTATTGTATATGGAAAATTATGGCTTAATCAGAAAATGGAACATCAAGCTGAGAAAGAACAATATCTATATATTTATTGTATCACAGAAATTATTTATCACAAAACATACTCTTCCCCTCTTCCTTACCTTGCTGTTAGCAACAACTCTTGTAGCTCTTAACTTCGGCTATTTCCGCGTCGCCGATATTGAACGATGATTAATTACTTGTGACGTAACAGTGACGTTGCGGTCTAACAATTCTTATGTAAGACCGGTCAACAGTGAAATTGTTAGACCGATGTAATAAACATTTCCTTTGTTTGACTTTTTATTAGTAATAAATACATAGAAGGATATTTATAAGGGTATAACAAAACTTTTTAGAAATCAAAAAAGACTTTAGGGATCATTGGCATTTTTTAAGGATAGGAAAAGAAAAGGGTAGAATTACAAGCCCTTTCAATGATACACATTTTGTTACATTCATCTCTCCTCTTGGAGTTGTTCCAAAGTCAGACCTAAGAAAGTATAGGGTCATTCATGATTAATATGATTCAGTAAACCTTGGTATACCCAAAGAGAAAGTCCAACTATTACCATGGCACTGGAGTTGATTTGCGAAACATAGATGCAGATTGCCATGGACCGAACTGGTGAAAGTAAGAAATAAGTTACAATAAGCTAAGAAGAAATATAAAGCTTGAAGATACAATCTTGGGCTTCTAAATTATACTTGTCTTGTAGTTGTCCTTGGGAAGGACTTCTTGTGTCGCCTCGTTTATTTAAGTAATTAAATCACCCAACCTCAATTTTCTTAAGGCTAAAAACTCTGTGAGACAGGAGCTGACTTATATATGTAGTCTCACTTTCAGTTTACTTCAATGGGAATCAGTCACCTTACAAAATATTTGGGCCTAGGCTGAAAGGGATTTGCTTTTTACAGATACTTCAGGTTCATCAGGTGTGCGGCTACTTTAAGTAGAAACTGGTTGCATTGGTTGGGATACAAATCAAAATCATGCCTCGTCAACAAATAGCAATTAAAGAGATGTTCCTAATTGTGTAAAGCATTATAGATTTTGGGGCTTTACCATGCCGAAGAAAAAAACAATCTGATGATTTAAAATCATAACATAAGCATCTGATGCATGCAAGGAGAAAACACTCATGAAACTAATTAGTTATGATAACGCAAGGTTTCACGCAATGTTTAGTGGAATCCAGCACTTCCAGTATTAGTAAGCGATGTATATATACATAACTTCATTGGTGTTTTGCTTTCCAATAACTACTCCCCAAATCATGTTTTACATGTTTGTTACAGTAAAGTGAATAAACTATGTAATATTTCAGATCAAATGTAGCGGATTATAAAAAAAAAAAAAAAAAACATAAACTGACCCAAACCAGGATATACTCGAATAATTTGGCCAAGAATTAGAGTAATTAATTATAATCAAATTTTAATATAATTAAACACTGCGGATGTGAAATTGTGTTGCTTTTTATGAGTTCAAATTTGCCGCTCAATAATACATCCGTAGTAACGGAAGTGATGGGAAGCGAGGGGAGGTACATTAATAACTGATACAGAGATCTCTAGCAGCCATGAAGTTTGTTTACATGCGGTAAGATCGAGCTACTGTTTGAAATTAAGGGTACATTTATTAAATCTTGAATTTTCCATGAATCCCGAGGACTGGAAATGAGGGTATTGCATTGATACAGGTGATTCAGCTGTTTGTCAAGAAGGTGTGTCCCCATAACAAACCAGATTATGCGTTATAATTTGCGTTCTTTTTTGGAATTCAACCAATGAGAGGCTAGAATACAAACAGAATTAAATTATTCTTTGTTAATCATGTACAAATTTTTTTACCATAAGAATGGACCTGCTGGGATCCAATATTTACAAATTTAAATTATGCAAAATAGTCTGGAAACACCTGTGAAGCAGAAATTGTCTGTTGGCTCCTTATACAATTCCTCACAAATTCAAACCATCAGTTTGGTAATCTGCCGGGTTATTTTCCTCTTGACTGGTCAGAAGTTGCTGGCAGATAAGAGGCACATTTTATCCAAAATGATGTATGTTTGGTACCTTTGTTGACTTGTCAGAAGTTGTCCGCAGCCAAGAGGCATATTTCTATGCAGTATGGTCTATGTTTTGACACCTTGGTTGACTGGTCAGAAGTTGTCTGCAGTTAAGAGGCACCTTTTTATGCAGCATGGTGTATGATTGACACCTTTGTTGACTGGTCAGAAGTTGTTTGCACAGTCAACGAGGTCAGCATCATGATTATAAATTCCCATTTTGCTGTCTGGTTAATATTTGAATACAGTGAGATGTTTTGTATATTTTTTAAAAACTGCTTCATGTTTTGTCTTTTGTATTGTCATTTGATTTTTGTAAGAAAATATTCTTTTCACTCAATCATATTGTATGTTTCTTTTTCTTGTTTGCAATGGCTATTGCATTGTCTTTTTTACTGAGAATATTAAAATTTTTGGATGTTTAAATGCTTCTGTATGAATCATCCTGTTATGGAATTTTGCGTCTCTTGCCCAGGCGCGTTTGTTTGGGTGGGTGGATCCAATCTCTGATTGGATTGTGGCTGTTTGTTATTTTGTTTTACCCACCTTTTTTGATGACAGGCAGCAGTTTAGAGCATTTTGTATATGTCTTTGAACCTTATGATGTTTATAAGGGGGTCAACTTGAAATACATGTATATTGTACCTTGTGAAAGATTACAGGGTTTGAATTCTAGTTTGGTTGAAACCCCCCCCCCTCCTTTTGCCCATGTACATCGTGTTACAATGTCATTATGATGCTGGGCGTCAGATTGCGTAAATGATCTGAGTCCCCTTTTTTTCTGACCACTATTTTGTTAACTGTGTTTTACTTCTTTCTACATTTACCTTAATATATGACATATTTCATTTCTACATGATGTTATTTTTTGTTTTTACCTGTTTTTAACAAAAAAAAAGCAATCTTAATCGTTTGGCAGGAGAACTAAGGAACATAAAATATTTTTTTTAAACGTAAAAGGGAAAAAATTATACCATATCATAACAAAATCTTGTATTTTTAGTTTGTTATGTGCATGTTAAGAATAATCCTGAAGACATCCGTAATGAGTAAATTTTATTAATAAATAAATTAGGACTGTTTCTCCCTTCAATCTGGCGAAAAGGGTCAGAGAAAGATCCGCTCCTCAATATGGCATAGTACGCAGTCTAAACTATGACGTCACGGAAATTCGTTAAACTGAGTTTTTCCCCAAATACATAGTATGATTTTTTAAAAGTTTGATAAATCTTTTTAAAAAGAAGAGAGTACGCATATAAAATATAATTGATTTTAATATAAGTTTGGCCTAGCTGAAAACGAAAGTAACAAGGATATGTACTCGAGATTTGTTTTTGTTTATTGTAATTATTAACTTCATTTACACAGGACTGGAATTAAAATTACCATTCACCAGCATCTCGTTTCTGTGGTACTAGTATTTGCTGCCAGATTGAAGATGGAAAAAAACTATAGACGCTATATTGGCGACAAGGCTCTCTGTTTCATAGGTTTTGTAATAAAAATATAGTTTTCAAAAGAATTCAATATATTTTACATACATACGTGTTACCTATAGGAAGAGCTTCGCTGAAGAGAGGACCCCGCCCTCTAAAAATCTTATCTTAAATTATGATTTACACTGTACCTACCCTTTGTAGACATTTTCACTCCGTTTTAAGCGCAGATTGATTCTGATAAGTGTTTTATGTTATCTTATCGAAATAACCCAGTTTTTCAACCATAGATTAAATGGTCTTTTTTGCCTTAAAGAGACACCGTGACACAAATAGGGGAAAATTGACAAATGTAGAATTTTTGCATGACCCGTATAGAATTTGTTCAATTCCTAAAAGTATTAGGTTTCAGAAAATTACGGGTTTCAGAACCTAAAAATTCTATTTTTATGGAGAAAAATAAAAGTAAAAATAATTTCAGTATGCCCCATAACGAACATATTGCTTAATACTTCTTCCTCCCTATTGTACGCGTGCGCAGAAAAGTTGAATGAGTTTCCATAGTTACAATGATCTCAAATACCCAGGAATGAATGTAAGTAGACCAAAAGTTTTGATGCAATGTTTTTAAAAAGTTGTTAGAACAAATTTCTCACCTTTGCATGCTCCAGTTGAATGTTGTTTACAAGTTTGAGCTAAAAATAAAAGTGGCATGACCTTGACATACACAAAAACAACGAACCGGTAGTTACAACCTTTAAATTTGTTTTTCCGGCACTTATATTGTGCAGTCTTTTCTTGCAGTTTATTGTTTAATTATGAATTATTGTCTAGTTATATATTCATAATTTTCATAAGTCTTTCTCGGTATGCTACAGGTATCTTAAAAGAAACATATGATTTTGACTCACTGTGTCACTTTAAGGGGACCGACTGGGGTTTCCATTGCGCAATATTTCGTGCATCATGGTTGAATGAAGCGTATTCATTTTTTTAAAACAACTTTTTTCATTTAATTATTTAAACTTAACAGCATTAAGAAACTAAGGGTTGAAAAATTGGCCCAAATTAGTTCGTATTTGAAAAAAAATATTTAGGTATATTAATGCGCACTATTCATTACTATTTATTAAAATGAAATCAAAATATGTTTATTTTTTATGTAAATTAATTATTGAATATGAATAAGTATGTATCATAATAAAATATTTTATTCATAATTAAATGAATGTGTCTGTATTACATTCCAAAAGTCCTTACCAATAATGTAATTTGAGATTATATGAAAATTTTATTTAAAAATTTATAAAAAGAAGTATAGAAGTTTACAAGACGTACAATGTTGCAGTATGATAGGTCTACGGGTCGACAGGTCTACAGGTCGATAGGTCCACAGACTGACAGGTCGATAGGTCAACAAATCTACAAGAAGTCAGGTCTACGGGTCTACAGGTCGTCAGGTCTACAGGTCTACGGGTCTAAGGTCATCTGCAGGTCTATGGGTCTGCAGGTTGACAGGTCTACAGGTCGACAAGTCTACAGGTCAAAAGGTATATGGGTCTACAGGTCGACAGGTTGAACAGGCTACGGGTCCACAGGTCTACGGATCTACAGGTCGTCAGTTTTACAGGTCCTCAGGTCTACAGGTCTACGGGTCTATAGGTCTACGGGTCTACAGGTCGACACGTCTACAGTTTGACAGGTTTACGGGCCTACAGATCTACAGATCTACAGGTCTACACGTTAAGGGGTTTATAGGTCGACATGTCTTTAGGCCTTCAGGTCGACAAGTCTACAGGTCTACAGTTTGACAGGTCTAAAAGTATACGGGTCTGCAGGTTGACAGGTCTACAAGTCGACAGGTCGACAGGTCAACAGGTCTACGGGTTTTCAGATCTACGTGTCTACAGGTTGACAGGTCTACATGCCAGTTGAACAATATTTTGTTAGTATAGGATTAGAAAAGTCGACAGATCTAAGTGTCTATAGGTCGACAGGTCTACATGCCAGTTGAACAATATTTTGTTAGTATAGGATTAGAAAAGTCGACAGATCTACGTGTCTACAGGTTGACAGGTCTACATCATAGATATGTAAAGTTAGCTACTAGTAACTGGCTACTAGTAGCTGGCTACGAGAAGTGGTAAAGTTAGCTACTAGTAGCTGGCTACGAGAAGTGGTAAAGTTAGCTACTAGTAGCTGGCTACGAGAAGTAAGTAAAGTTAGCTACTAGTAACTGGTTACTAGTAGCTGGCTACGAGAAGTGGTAAAGTTAGCTACTAGTAGCTGGCTACGAGAAGTAAGTAAAGTTGGCTACTAGTAACTGGCTACTAGTAGCTAGCTACGACAAGCAAGTAAAGTTGGCTACTAGTAACTGCCTACCAGTAACTGACTTAAACATTCTAATACATTTTGTGTTAAACTATGCTAATTTGGGAGAAATGATTTGGCACTAAAGTTACCGAGATATCGTTATTAATAAACTCTTGTTTATTAATTATTAATAATAATACTTATTAATAAACCTTTTGTATCAAATTATGCAATTTTGGGAGACAAATCTTGATATTATAGAAGTAGCTGCATTTTTACATCCCTGATATCCACTGATATTGTTAATAAAAACAATCTCTGAGCTTCTCCACATGATCTGGCACTAAAGTTACCAAGATATCGTTATTAATAAACTCAGCTACTAGTTACTTTTGTTTAAAATTATGCAATTTTAGGTGACAAATGTTGATATTATAGAAGTAGCTGGATATTTAAATCGCTGATATCCACTGATATTGCTGATAAAAACAATCTCTAAGCTTTTCCACATGGTCTTGCACTAAAGTTACCAAGATATCGTTATTAATAAACTCAGCTACTAGTACCTTTTGTTTAAAATAATGCAATTTTCGGAAACAAATCTTGATATTCCGGAAGTAGCTGCATATTAGCACCGCTGATATCCACTGATATTGTTGTTAAAAACAATATCTGAGCTTTTCCACAAGATTTGGCACTAAAGTTATCAAGATATCGTTATTAATAAACCCAGCTTCTAGTACCTTTTGTTTAAAATTATACAAATTTTAGGAGACAAATCTTGATATTATAGAAGTAGCTGGATATTTAAATCGCTGATATCAACTGATATTGTTGATAAACACAATCTCTGACCTTTTACACATGATCTGGCACTAAAATTACCAAGATATCGTTATTAACAAACTCAGCTTCTAGTACCTTTTGTTTAAAATCATGCAATTTTAGGATAAAAATGTTGATATTATAGAAGTAGCTGCATTTTTACAACGCTGATATCCACTGATATTGCTGATAAAAACAATGTCTAAGCTTTTCCACATGGTCTGGCACTAAAGTTACTAAGATATCGTTAGAAATAACCTCAGCTACTAGTTACTTTTGTTTAAAATTATGCAATTTTAGGTGACAAATCTTGATATTATAGAAGTAGCTGGATATTTAAACTGCTGATATCAACTGATATTGTTGATAAATACGACATCTGAGCTTTTCCACATGATCTGGCACTAATGTTACCAAGATATCTTTATTAATAAACTCAGCTACTAGTACCTTTTGTTTAAAATTATGCGATTTTGCGAGACAAATCTTGATATTCCGGAAGTAGCTACATATTTAAACTGCTGATATCAACTGATATTGTTGATAAAAACAATCTCTGAGCTTTTCCACATGATCTTGCTCTAAAGTTACCGAGATATCGTTATCAATAAACTCAGCTACCAGTACCTTTTGTTAAAAATTTTGCAATTTTGGGAGACAAATCTTGATATTCCGGAAGTAGCCAGATATTTTAACTGCTGATATCAACTGATATTGTTGACAAAACAATGTTTAAGCTTTTCCACATGGTCTGGCACTAAAGATACCAAGATATCGTTATTAATAAACTCAGCTACTAGTACCTTTTGTTAAAAATTATGCAATTTTGCGAGACAAATCTTGATATTCCGGAAGTAGCTACATATTTAAACTGCTGATATCAACTGATATTGTTGATAAAAACAATCTCTGAGCTTTTCCACATGATCTTGCACTAAAGTTACCGAGATATCGTTATCAATAAAGTCAGCTACTAGTACCTTTTGTTTTAAAATTATGTAATTTTGGGTGACAAATGTTGATATTATAGAAGTAGCTGCATTTTTACACCGCTGATATCCACTGATATTGTTGACAAAAACAATGTTTAAGCTTTTCTACATGGTCTGGCACTAATGGTACCAAGATATCGTTATTAATTAACTCAGCTACTAGTACCTTTTGTTTAAAATTATGCAATTTTGGGTGACAAATGTTGATATTATAGAAGTAGCTGCATTTTTACACCGCTGATATCCACTGATATTGCTGATAAAAACAATGTCTAAGCTTTTCCACATGGTCTGGCACTAAAGTTACCAAGATATCATTATCAATAAACTCAGCTACTAGTACCTTTTGTTTAAAATTATGCAATTTTAGGTGACAAATCTTGATATTATAGAAGTAGCTGGATATTTAAACTGCTGATATCAACTGATATTGTTGATAAATACGACATCTGAGCTTTTCCACATGATCTGGCACTAAAGTTACCAAGATATCGTTATTAATAAACTCAGCTACTAGTACCTTTTGTTTAAAATGATGCGATTTTGCGAGACAAATCTTGATATTCCGGAAGTAGCTACATATTCAAAACTGCTGATATCAACTGATATTGTTGATAAAAACAATCTCTGAGCTTTCCCACATGATCTTGCTTTAAAGGTACCGAGATATCGTTATCAATAAACTCAGCTACTAGTACCTTTTGTTTGAAATTATGCAATTTTGCGAGACAAATCTTGATATTCCGGAAGTAGCTACATATTTAAACTGCTGATATCAACTGATATTGTTGATAAAAACAATCTCTGAGCTTTTCCATATGATCTTGCGCTAAAGTTACCGAGATATCGTTATCAATAAAGTCAGCTACTAGTACCTTTTGTTTTAAAATTATGTAATTTTGGGTGACAAATGTTGATATTATAGAAGTAGCTGCATTTTTACACCGCTGATATCCACTGATATTGTTGACAAAAACAATGTTTAAGCTTTTCTACATGGTCTGGCACTAATGGTACCAAGATATCGTTATTAATTAACTCAGCTACTAGTACCTTTTGTTTAAAATTATGCAATTTTGGGTGACAAATGTTGATATTATAGAAGTAGCTGCATTTTTACACCGCTGATATCCACTGATATTGTTGTTAAAAACAATCTCTGAGCTTTTCCACATGGTCTGGCACTAATGTTACCAAGATATCGTTATCAATAAACTCAGCTACTTGTTACTTTTGTTTAAAATTATGCAATTTTAGGTGACAAATGTTGATATTATAGAAGTAGCTGGATATTTAAACTGCTTATATCAACTGATATTGTTGATAAATACGACATCTGAGCTTTTCCACATGATCTGGCACTAATGTTACCAAGATATCTTTATTAATAAACTCAGCTACTAGTACCTTTTGTGTAAAAATATGCTGTTTTGGAAGACAAATCTTGATATTCCGGAAGTAGCTACATATTTAAACTGCTGATATCAACTGATATTGTTGATAAAAACAATCTCTGAGCTTTTCCACATGATCTTGCTCTAAAGTTACCGAGATATCGTTATCAATAAACTCAGCTACCAGTACCTTTTGTTAAAAATTTTGCAATTTTGCGAGACAAATCTT